CTGGGTTCAATTCTACCCTCGGGTGACAGTCTGTATGGACATCGCACCTTCTCCCTGTGTCTGCGTGGGTTTCCTCTGGGTACTCCGGTTTCCTCCCACAGTCCAAAGATGTGCAGAGTAGGTGGATTGACCATGCTAAATTGCCCATAGTGTCTAGGGATGTTTAGGTTAGGTGGGTTAGACATGGGGGAAATGCAGGGGTAGGGGGATGAGTCAGGCTGGGATGCTCTTCAGAGGGGGGGCGGTGTGGACTTGTTGGGCCGAATAGCCTGTTTCCATACTGTAGGGATTCTATGATTCTGTGAACCCTTTTGTATCTCTCCCCTCAAACCTGTGCCGTCTAGTTTTAGACTCCTGTACCCTGGGAAAAGCTGTCTGCTATTTATCTTATCTATGGCTCTCCTGATTCTATATACCTCTGTAAGGTCACCCCTCAATCTCCTACACTCCAGCGAAAAGAGTCCCAGCCTATCCAACCTTTCCTTATTACATAAACCTTCCAGTCCAGGCAGTATCCTTTTAAATCTTTTCTGCCCTCTTTAGTTTAAAAATTTCCTTTCTATAGTAAGGCAACCAGAACTGCACACAGTAGTTCAAATATGGCCTCACCATCATCTTGTACAGCTGCAACAAGACGCCCCAACTCCTACACTCAGTGCTCTGACCAATGAAAGCTAGCATGCCAAAAGCCACCTTAACTGCCCTGTCTACCTGTGACTCCATTTTCGAGGAGCTATAAACTTGTACCTCTAGATTTCTTTCCCAAAAGATACCAAGTTACACAGATGGGTTTTGTGTGATATTTGGGTAGTTTCACGCCTGGTGCAGAGCAATGTCCTATAGCAAAAAGGTGATGGTGATCAGATAATCTGTTCTAGTGATTAAATTCGAGGGAATAAATATTGACTACAACAATGTGGAGAACGTGCTTCTTCTTCTGTGCATTGTGGTCACCATTAGTGATGGTAGCTTCTTACTCCAAATTTATTTAATTATACTTAAATCCTCCTCTAGTGGGACTTGAACCAATGTCCGGATCAATGCTCTATGCCTCCGGTTGGTTAGTCCAGTAACTAAATCACTAAGCTAACCTGTTAAAAGACACTGACCATTTTGAAAATACATCACCACACTCATGTCCTCTGTTATCTGAAAGCTAGCAGCATATATTAAACGCTGTTTTCATTCTATCCCTGACTTCCTGTAATTTAACAAGAAGTTATTTTTAATTTTTAAGTTGTTATGGTGCTCCTTGATGGTTTAATTGATTCAATGCCCCTGTGAAACTGAGCTATGAAATCCCAGGTTAGCTAGTGTGGTTAGCAAGTTCCCACAGCGTGGTTGGCAATAGGGCTCTCGGTTTGGCCATTGCACAACCTGAGTGAATGAGGGAGGATTAAAATGAAGTCCTGGTCTTGATGGACTAGTCAGCAAACCCTGCTGGAAAGTGCGTACGATTGTTGGATGAGGTTAAAATCAGGCTGGATGTTGATGATGCAGGGCATCGTTGAATATCATGCCAATATTTCATTTTGTTACTTGCATGAAGAGTGGTCATTTGCATGTGGCAGTGTTCAGAGTTCTCCTTCATAAATGAGTGTTTTAAGGATAAGCAGAGAGGAAATGGGAGTTAAGGAGAAAAGATTAGCAGCACACAACCGTGTTGTGTTTTCAGTAAACATATGTAAGTAAACTTCTGGCATTGTGTTCAATGCTTTTGTCAGATTAATGTTTGTTGACTCATGGACCACAAACAAAAACGCTGAAGAAGGGTCTAGACCCGAAACATCAGCTTTACTGCTCCTCTGATGCTGCCTGGCCTGCTGTATTCATCCAGCTCTACACCTTGTTATTTCAGATTCTCCAGCATCAGCAGTTCCTACTATCTCTAAACAAAAATGCAATTGTTTTTTTCTATTAGCATAAAGCATTTTTTAACAATATCATTCTGTTGTGCAGGATCTGTTATATTCATAATGTTTTCCACCTCTTGTTCCTGCTGGTGATGTTTTTGAAGCATCAAAACTGTTCAGAAATGCTGCGGAATCTGTCCTTGTGCCCACCATTTGATGTTAAATTACAGGAAGTCAGGGATAGAATAAAACCAGCACTTAATGTATGCTAGACAACAAGGTGCAGGGCTGGATGAACACAGCAGGCCAAGCAGCATCATAGGAGCATAAAGGCTGACGTTTCGGGCCTCGACCCTTCTTCAGAAAAGGGGGAGGGGAAGGGGCTTCTGAAATAAATAGGGAGAGAGTGGGAGGCGGATAGAAGATGGATAGAGGAGAGGAAACAAACAGGTCGAAGAGGCGGGGATGGGGCTAGTAAAGGTGAGTGTAGGTGGGGAGTTAGGAAGGGGATAGGTCAGTCCAGGGAGGACGGACAGGTCAAGGAGGCGGGATGAGGTTGGTCGGTAGGAGATGGAGGTGCGGCTTGAGGTGGGAGGAGGGGATAGGTGGGAGGAAGAACAGGTTAGGGAGGCAGGGACGAGCTGGACTGGTTTTGGGATGCGGTAGGGGGTGGGGAGATTTTGAAACTTGTGAAATCCACATTGATACCATTAGGCTGCAGGGTTCCCAAGAGGAATATGAGTTGCAGTTCCTATCCTCTCCTCTATCCATCTTCTATCCGCCTCCCACTCTCTCCCTATTTATTTCAGAACCCCCTTCCCCTCCCCCTTTTCTGATGAAGGGTCGAGGCCTGAAACGTCAGCCTTTCTGCTCCTATGATGCTGCTTGGCCTGCTGTGTTCATCTAGTCCTGCACCTTGTTGTCTCGGATTCTCCAGCATCTGCAGTTCCTACTATCTCTGATTCAAACTTAATGTATGCTGCTAGTTTTCAGGTGACAGAGGACGTGAGTGTGGTGCTGTATTTCAAAATGGTCAGTGCCCTTTAACAGGTATGATAGCTTAATGATTTAGCCTCCAATAACAGTGCTAAGTTTTTAAACTTTAGTGACCTCAGTGTATTGGTAGGTTAAATGTTATTAGTACACAGTTAATGTGAGTTATGCATAGTGTCCCTTTATAGACATGTATATTCCAGTTGTGAACCCTTCCCTGAGGTGTTATACTCTTGACTATTTAATAGTCGCTTGGTAGTGCAGAACTTGAGTATTGCTTAAAAAAAGGGTCAAGTATCCATCATGCATTTTCTATGGTAACATCTTGACCAATCAGAGTCCATTTGCCAACCAATCAGCACCCTTTATCATGCAGTATAAATTGTTGTTTCCTTTGAAATGTGATGATTTTTGTGTCCATAATGCTGAGTGCAAAATTTAGCACTTCAACAAAATATCTTTTTCTTTCAGTAATAAGAATTAATATATTAAAATCTAATGAAGGGGTGAGTTATCATTCACTGGGTGCCTAATGTTGCTTTACTTCTGTATTTGTAGCAAACTCCACATGTAGTGTACAATGTACCATCACTTCTGGTTGTAAATAAATTCTCATTTGAACCCATGTTATGAAATCCTCTTGCATTGGCTCAACTTAATAGAGACAAAAACTAGAGGGAATAAGGTGAGAGGGAAAGATTTAAAAGGGACCTAAGGGGAAACTTTTTCATGCAGAGGGTAGTATGTGTATGGAATGAGCTGCCAGAGGAGGTGGTGGAGACTGGTGCAATTACAACATTTAAAAGGCACCTGGATGGGTATGTGAATAGGAAGGGTTTAGAGGGATATGGGCCAAATACTGGCAAATGGGACGAGATTTATCTGATCGGCATGGATGTGTTGGACCAAATGGTCTGTTTCCATGCTGTACAGCTCTATGACTAACAAGGCTAAGCTTTAGTGGCCTGTGCGCTAAGTGTTGGGGCAGCGGACTTCAGAGACAATTAACTTCCACTCTCAGGGTGGGGTCAAAGGGAGAGGGGTTTCGGGAGCAATGTCAGAGGTAGCTTTCAGTGGTCAGCCCTACTCTCGTCCCTGTCCTGATGCCCTCAGATTGGGGCAAATCCTGGATTCTATCTTGGAAAGGCAACCAGTTACTCGTCTGCCAGGAAGGTAAGTAATCGGGCTGGTCAAAATTGACCACTTTAGGGCCTGAATTGGTGCTGAGTTGGAAAGATTGCCCATTGAATTTTCTCACCCAGATGTCCATTTACAGAGATAGCAGGTAGAGAATGAGGATCTCTTTTTGGACCAAACCGTCTAATTATTCATTCTTCCTGCCAAATCCAGGGAGGAGAAAATTGCATTTTTGGAGTAAGACTGGAAATGTGAACTCTGAAGAAGGCATTTAGTTAATTGAAGAAACAAAATAAGTTAACATTTGTGGGTGTAGCCCCTTTCTTTACAGAATCCTACCCTTTACAAAACCTGGCTGAGCTGCAATTATTCAAACAAACACGTATCTCTTAGCCATGTTACCAAGTGCCCAGAGATTGTCAGACCTATATGTTCAACATTGGATTTCTTGCTCCATGGTAAGAACGTGTTGTAAAAGTATAAATTGGGATGCAATATACATTGCTTGAGTCTGGTGGCTGCCCCATTACCATTTTAATGAGTGTGTTAACCTATTTAACATCTGTGACATAGACAGGAAGTTCAGTTCAATACGTTAGTGTTTGTAGACCTCAAAATCCTAGTCTGTTGTGTCCAAGTTATGGTTTTAATTGTTAGAGAACAGTGGAGATTTGGGCTATCTGTCCTTTTCCCATAAAAGTATCCAGTTTAAAAGCTTTGCTGCTCCCATGGTGTTAGTGTGTAACTACATACCAGAAGTGTTCTTAGCCCGGCAGCATTCTGATACTTGCAATTTGCATTTAGATCTCGCTTTGTGTCCAGTGTTGTTGCATTTGCCTGTCACGTTTTTTGGTCTGGCTCAATGATTGCTTTTCATAAAAAAAACTAAATTAATTTTCCCTGGGAAAATAGTAGTCTTGATGTGAGCTATTTTCATTGCCTTTAGAGAATATTAAGATCCTGCAAAATGTAATTAATTGCAGATTCCTTGCATTCTTTTCTCTCATTTTTATTTAGGTTTTGAAGGATGTTCAATGGTTCCTTCGATCTATCCTTTGGAAACACTCCATAATTCTCTGTCCCTGAAACAAGTGAATGAATTCCTTACGTCCATATCTGAAATTTGTGGGAAATCTCACGATGGAACATCAAAAGGTAAAAGGTGTACTTTTAGCTGAGACTATACAATGAGAAACCCTCCTTTGGGTGTCTTATCTCTCTTGTATCTCAGTACGAACTCAACTTATGAAATCTCAGATAACAAGGTGTAGAGCTGGATGAACACAGCAGGCCAAACAGCATCAGAGGAGTAGAAAAGCTGATGTTTCAGGTCTGGTCCCTTCTTCAGCTTTCCTGCTCCTCTGCTGCTTCGCCTGCTGTGTTCATCCAGCTCTACACCTTGTTATCTCAGATTCTCCAGCATCGGCAGTTCCTACTATCTTCTTATGAAATCTCAGCACTGTTTCATAATTCAACATATCACACCACGTGCCTCAGCCCTAAAGCTTTAACAAAGAATAGGTCGCGTTTCTGAGCTATCTTGTAGCTTGGTGAGTGGGAAATGAACAAAATCATAATAGTTCTGAAGCTGGCCTAAGGCATGTATGGTAGCATGCATGCCTCTGAGTCAAAAAGTTATGGGATCCAACCTGCTGCCAAGATTTGAGTAGAGTGTGTCGCCACAGTCTCACCAGACCATAGGGCTGCTGTCTCATTAGAAAGAGTCGACTGGCGGTGATTTGACCTCAGGGCCACCAGACCTTAGGAGAGGAGAGAAATGGAGGAGGAGAGTCCTTCACCTCAGCCAGTGATAGGAATTGAACCCACACTGTTGGCATCACACTGCTTCACAAACCGACTGTCCAGGCAACTCGACGTTCCAGTGCAAGACCGAGTCAGTACTACACTGTCAAAGGTGCTGTATTTCAGATGAAATGTTAAACAGGCCCCACCTACCCCTTCATTTAGATATAGAAGGTGCCTTGGTACTGTTTTAAAGAAGGACAAGTGAGGTTTCCCTCACATAAAATTACCTGAGTATTTTTGCCTCAGTCAATATCACTACAGCAGATAAGCATTTTTGGAGCTTGCTGCGTACAAATTGAATCGTAGAATAGAATTATAGAATCCCAACAGGGCAGAAAGAGGCCATTTGGCCCATCAATTCTGCATTCACCCTCCAAAGACATCCCACTCTATTCCCCTAACCCCACATTTAAAATGGCTAACCCACCTAACCTGAACATCTTTGAACTGTGGGAGGAAACCAGAGCACCCAATGGAAATCAACATAGATACAGAATGTGCAAGTTCACAGACAGTCCCCCAAGGCTGGAATCAAACCCAGTTCCTGGTACTGTGGTAGCAGTGCTAACCACCGTGCTGCCCCAATTTGGCTGGTACATTTTCAATGATTGCACTTCAGAAAGCCACTTTCACTGCCTTCATAGATGCTGGAATACCTCTGTCTCCCATTAGCATTGCTTTGCTTGCTGCATTGAATGACAAGTGAAGGAGACACGACAACACTGAATCCAGCATGCCCACCGATCCCACAATAGCAAAAACAGAGACCCAGAGATGCACCGAACAGCAGACCTATCACAAACCACACCCACAGGGTATTCGAGTCCCAGGTGATTGCTAGGCCATTTTAAGTAAGAATGAACTTGCATCTGTATAATGCTGTTCACAACATCAGGACCTCCTTTCGTCTTTACAGTTAGTTAAAATATTTTTGAAGTGTTGTTACTACATTATGGCAAACAATGACCTCTGTTTTGAATTTATTTGTAATTTGTATAATAATCATTGTTGTCATTATATGGCAGAACTTTCAGCAATGTTTGAGACTATGGGGAATAGCCAGCCTACAGTAGATGAGTATATTCCTCAACAAGTCCTGCCCTCCACAGTTACCTCCCTTTCATCACGTCCTCGCTCAGAAAACCCTCCATGGTGTAAGTAACCTTTTATTCTAAAATATATATGTAAATACTCAGAAGTATATTTGTTACATCAACCGCATCTATAAAATTTTGGTATCTAAGCAAGAAACGTAAGAAATGTAAAGAATCAAGACCCATAAAATTGGAAAGTGTAGAGATAAAATGAATCAACAGCAGCTTACACTTATATGCCACCTTTAGTAGAGTGAGAATCACAAGTGTGTGATCATAAACTGAGCCACACAAAACGATATTAGAAGAGGCAGTTGAAACTTGGTGAAAGTAAAGATTTGTTTGAGTTTGCAGGCTGAGGATTGTTTAGAAACATAGAAAATAATAAGCAGCAGCAGGCCATTTGGCTCAAGAAGCCTGTTCCGCCATTCAATATAATCGTGGCTGATCCTCTAGCTCAATGCCATACTCCCACTCACTCCTCATACTGCTTAACACTTCTACCTTCTAGAAATGTGTCTATTTCCTAAATATATTCAGTGACTTCTCTATCACAGAATGCTGTGGAGATGAATACCAGATGTTCACTACCTTCGCAGTGAAAACATTTCTCCTCATTTCAGTCTAAAATGGCCTGTTGCATCCCTGAGACCATAACCAGTTGTTCTAAACCCCTGGCCAGGGGGAGTATATCCCTGCATCTAGTCTGTCCAGTCCTGTCTGAATTTTATGTTTCAATGAGATCGTCTCTTGTCCTTCTAAACCCCAGTGAATACAGGACCTAATTTTTCCTCGTAATAAAAACCTACCGCATGAGGAATCATTCTGGTGAACCTTCGCTGCATTCCCTAAGTGAAGAGTGTTTTTTTTTGGTAAAGAGACCAAAGCTGCACACACTATTCCAAGTGTGGTCTCCAAAGGCCCTAGATAGCTGCATTAAGACTCCCTTGCTGCTGTACATGAATCCTATTGCAATGAAGTCCAATGTATCACTTGCCTTCCCAACTGTTTGCTGCATCTGAGTGTTTGTTCAGGCAAAGAATTACAAGCGGGTATGGGTGCTGATTGCTTTTAGATTTTCAGATTTTGTCTGGTGTTGAACAGAGGTCTGAGCACAGTTTGCTTTAGTTGTAAAATTGTCCTTTTCTCCCCATGAGCAAGCTTTGGGGGATTGTCACATTCACTCAGGAGTTAAAGACAATAAAGATCATCTTGGCACAGCCCATGTGCAAAACACTTCATCTCTGATGATATGTGCTTGATTATACAGGTGTTAGACCACTTAAATGAAATAAATGAGTTAATAACTGACTGCAAATGGTGCACAACGCATTGGCTTAATTCCATGTGAATGTCAACCAAACATTCTCCTCTGCCAAGTGAGAGTTAGAGCTGATATGACTAACTATGCATTGATGTGAGATCTTATTGGCAACTCTTATGTCCCCTAGACAATGCAAAGGAAAGTACATGTGGAGACTCAAAAATGAACACCTGCAACTCAGTAAACAGCTATCCTATCAATAAAAGACCTCTATCAGGTCATTCCTCAGACTTCTCTTTGTCTGTTTTTATTTTCACGAACTCAAAAAATTTAAAACCCTTTTACCAGATGCCTCAGCTCAGTCTTGGAAGTCTGTCTTCCTTCTACAGCCTGCCCACACCAGCCATTCTGTCACCTATCTAACTGTGATTGATTGCCAGTTCAAAACTGGATATGGACAAACCTGCCTAAACCTGATTCATATATGGGCTACTAGCTAACTGACGGAGAAAGGTTTCAGTATATGAGTCCAGATTTGTGTTGTATCCTTTTCTGATAATGCCTCCATTTTAAAATTGTTTTCAGTTAACCCTGCCCATCTCTTTTTTTTTGTAATCTCCTCCAACTAATCCTGGCCTCTTGTGTATCCTTGACTTTATCTCAGTTTCATTGACACCTTGTGCCTTCAGCTTCCTAGGCTGAAACATCTAGAATTCCCTTTCTAAACTTCACTCCCTCTCTCTGCTGCTGAAGATGTTCCTTAAAATCTTCTTTGACCATGCTGTCCTTGAGTCACTTTGTGATTTCGTGTCATAAAATGGTTAGCACTGCTGCCTCACAGCGCCAGGGACCCGGGTTCGATTCCAGCCTTGGGTGACTGTCTGTGTGGAGTTTGCACGTTCTCCCTGTGTCTGCGTGGGTTTCCTCCAGGTGCTCCGGTTTCCCCCCACAGTCCAAAGATGTGCAGGTTAGGTGGATTGGCAATGCTAAATTGCCCATAGTGTTCAGGGAGGTGTAGATTAGGTGGGTTATAGGGGGATGGGTCTGGGTGGGATGCTCTGATGTTCAGTGTGGACTTGTTGGGCCGAAGGGCCTGTTTCCACACTGTAGGGATTCTATGATAACAGTCTTGCCCATTGTGATATTTTGTTGTTAAAGGTGATTTATAAATACAAGTTGTCATTAAATGTTTGCACTATCCTCCCATTGTTTAAATGGTCATGTGAATGTTGACTGCAGGTCACATATACAATCGAGCATTCTACACCTCTCAAATTCTTCATTAGGAAGAGAAAAATTATGGAATAGTTGTGGGTGGTTATCTGTGCCCTCAGACAGCTGTGTTATTGTACATTTGCAAATCTGCCAAGGCTTAATTCCCTGTGACTAAGCTGATAATGAATTACTTTTGCTCTGGATTTTCTTTGACCTGGTTACTGCTAGTAGTTTGTAATTAAACGGTTATGGCAGACTGACCCAGAAGGTGCTGTTTTCCATTGCTGACCTGTGTGCAGTTATTGAACCCAGAAAGGGAATCAAAAGAATTGGTTATTTTAGCAATAACCTAGTGATTCCTGGTACTGGCTTATCTGGGCCAACACTGAGGTAGGCCTGGAGCTGAATGTAGACTGACACAGACACGGCGCCAGAAGCAAGTAATATGGACACGAGATCGGTCAAAGAAACATTTTAAGCTATCACCACAAATATCATTGTCATTTTAAACAATTACTCTGAACAGATGCAACATTGTAGCCAAGACCATAGGTATGGACAATGTGAATTACATGATAATATCTTCATTTATTTAGTCATCAATACACTAAATAAGCACGGCTATATTAACAAAATCCTTTAGTTTGGATATTTCTATTCTGATTTCTTTGTCATCTTAGTTAGCCTCTTATAAGCCTTTGTTTGTATTTAATTATATGTTTTCCAATATGAAAACAGTATCTGTCAATAAAAATTGAGTTTAAAATAAATATTATTCACCAAGTCGGCAATCAGAAGTTTGTGTATTTTCCATATATGCTTTATCCAAATACTGCTGTGTTTAATTAAATAAACAGAGTGCTGAAATAATTCTATGTCTAAATGTGTCCAGTCAGTTTATAGCACATGTTTTTGGGATTTAAGATACATCTACTCAGTTCCAGGTCAGAGTTAACTAACTCAATACAGATCAGTGATGGTACACTGCAACCTTTGTGTCAGACTGTCTTCCTTAACCTTTTAATTGCAAAATCACTTCTTAATTCCTACTTTTAACTCCAAAATTTGCATACAGAAATTAATTTGTGTCTGAGTGCTTAGCTGATGATGAATTAGTTATGAAATGTGCTCCGTGTTTTGTGGTTTACACACAGCAAGCCATAATGAGTTGAATGTTCATGTAATTTGTCCTTCATAGTGCTGTTGGAGAGATTCGCATTGGTCACGGCACAAGGAGAAATTTGCCTTTCAGATAGTTCCATGACTTTTCTCCAGATTGTCAGTGATGCATACTTTCCATTGTTTAATAATTTCTTTGATTTATCTGTATCTTTAAATACAGATAGCAGTGGTCCTTCAAGCACTGTGTCCAGTGCTGGTCCGTCATCTCCCAACACCTCCGACAACTCTCCCCGGTTTAGTTTCAGTGATAAATCATCACTCACGCCCCAGAGCAGCGAAGAGCAGCAGCAATCTGTCCAGCCAGCAAATCCCAACCAACATCCCAGCTGCAATCACAAGGACCTACAGCTGACACCAACTCTTCACAACAGCCAGGGGCAGCAAGTCATTCAAGGTCAACAGCTGCACCAGAATCATAGTGACCCACAGCTAACTGGGAGTATGACTGGGCAGGGAAAACAGGTAGTAGAAGGTCTGGTGGAAACCTAACGATGAAGGCAGTGGATTGTTTTGCAGCATTGTGCCACCAGATGTGATAACTACTCCTTCTTCTGCTATTAAACTGGGATTGAGGCTGTATATTTTATAAATGTCACATGCTGACTCTGGGATCAGTACAATGTATTAATGCTGCACTGTAATACAGAGGGGTTGGATGTTCCAGGTTTGGGTTTTGGTGGCTTGGTATCACCCTGTGCCTCTGATCCCTCCCGTGTTGTTGGTATAGGTGAGGTGATTTTACATCCTTTGTGATGGGTGATGTATTTGTATGTGGTACATGTCAATCTTCATCCTATAACCATGTACAGAAAGCCAGCTATTTCTTCATCCATGTAGTTTGTAAATTGTTATTTAATGATGGTATTTTGTAAATAAGGAACAAGTTAATCCTCCTGGGACTGATAGGACTTCTGGCTCCAATACGTTTTCCTTCCACCAGATTTCTTTCCGTAAGTATAAGTGTTGCGGAGCTTAATGAAGCAAGACAGACGTGACATGTAAATTTTCAGTCCTTAGCCCAGTTACCATTTTATAAAACACAAACGCCTATCCTGGCTTATAGGGCAGCTGGGATGTCCTGTGAGCTATGAAACAGAGATGTTTCTGCCAAGTTAGCCAGTCTCAACCAGACGATAATTGGGTATTACTAATTGATGTTGATGTCCCTCTACTAGTGATGAGGAAAATTCAGCCAAAGGTTCCTGGATACCTGTGGCCAATAATCCATCTAAATTTTCTTTGTTCTGCATAGCCTATTTAGTTCCAGACATGAGCCTTCACTTTTTTATTTTTGTGCAGTTGTTGGGTCATTACCCTAGAAATTAAATAACAAGTTGACACACTGCTAGGGGTCACCAGACGGGATGACCACTTGGGTGTGATTCTGTTAGCTGTTGGT